TCCTGTTATGTTCTAAATCAAAGTATTACTAAAAATGTAAGAACCACTAATTTACAAAAGAGTGAAATGGCAAAACGTTATCATTGTAAATCGAGTGTTAACGTTCTCACTATTTTGGGAGCCTTTAAAAATACTGTTGCAAAGAAAATATATAATATATTATATTAATTATTTCAGTCCAATTATTTAGATCCACAATATTTATTACAAGCAATGTTCATTTAAGTTTCCAATATATCAATTAATAATGTAGTTGAAGCTATCTTTTTATATGAATTAATATCATACTAACCAAAGCAATCTTACTTAGTGATTAGCATTATTTACGACCGCGTCCAACCGCCCCCGTCAGCTAGCTCGATTAACAGCTTGCTTTTGCCAGTTGCTAGTACCGACCACGTTTTCTATAAGCGGTTTCTGAATTGAACATCTTTAATGCACAACAATGAATTAAATCTATATCAGTGTCAAGTTTTATTTGCGCTAGTTTGTATCAAAACTTTAAACTTTTAAATGTCAACAACCTATAAGACCCAACTGGTAAACCCAGCTTATAGGTCTCAAAACAGAAATATTTTAAACGACATATACAAAAGTGTGTTTGGGGGTTTGAGACTACTAATGTTTTCATGTAAATCAGTGTTAAAAAACCCATCTGAAATCAGTCCCTTTGTAGTTTCTTGAAACTTTTGGGAAATTCATTTTTTGACAGGAAATGCCTTGTATGTTTTCAAAACAACAGTTGGCTTTTCAATGCAACTTATGTGGAAAATTCACGACAGTTATTCAGTGGATAGATATTAAGAGACATGTGTGCGGACTTACTGAACCAGTTTTTAGCTTCTAAATGAATAGAATATAATATAATATTATTTATGTTATGTTAACTATGTAATATCTAGGAGTTAAATAGCTTTTACATTGGTATGCTTGAGTAGTCGTTTTGCATGCCTAGCAGCTATGGTTTTTTGATCCCTAACTAACTTTGATCCCTCTAACTTTCTAGTCTTAATGTATTTTTTGGTTTGTTATATATCGATATGCATTTGCAATCATCCGTAGACATTTGTTTTGACTCTGTTGAAGGATATCTCAGTTCGATTATTTCGTATAGCCCCCTTAGTGTATACCACACATCTAAATCGTTATAATGACAGATAGATAAATTAATGACTTGCAATATAGGTTAAGTTGAGAATGATGTTCAATTATCTATAATACATTTGTCGACAATAGTAGTTGATTTGGTCAGATATGATCTCTCCAATTTAGTCTGTTATCAAGATGTAACCCAAGCTATTTTGCTGAATTTGACTGCGGAAATTGTATGCCAGTTAGATAGGTACACAAATTGTTGCTTGTACAGCGCAGTGTAAATATTACATGAGTGGGTTTGAATTGATTAAGTTTGGTCTTCCAAACAGTGGTCCAACGGCTTATATTGTTAAGCATTTCCTGCAGTGTATTTGTGGCTGCTTCTTGTGTGTTTCCAGATGCTATTACTACAGTATCTCGCCGAAGGTTCCGACGAATACGTCTCGTGTTGTAGGTATGTCACCTATGTAGAGCATATATAGAATAAGTCCTCGTACACTACCTGTGGAAATCAGCCTCTAATAGTATCAATGTTCAAATGATCTTATTCACTTGTTACCCTAAATGTTCTTTCTAAAAAGTATCTACTATACGTCTGACTTATCTATTAAGTACACCTCAACAATAGTAATAAATTAACATATACCATAGTACTATTCATATCCAATAAAGGATGTTTTTTTTTAATTCATTGGATTGAATATTAATCCATTAATTTTGCCAAAGAAAACTCTAAAATTGCGTTGATTGTGGCTTTAGTAATATATGAATTATAAATATCAAATAATAATTAACTTAATCTAAATATTTCCATTAATTTTAAAATTTTTAAAAATTCACTGAGGACAAAGCTTTATAAATATATTGGCGATATGGCATAAGTGACATTTTTGTTATCTGTTCGTTCTGTATACATACGAGTATACATGATTCTTAAATTGGAAGGTGGCATCTCCCGTCAGAGTATTTTAAATGATCATTTAAATGTGCTTTTGATAATCATTTAATATGATTAAAGGTACTTAATTGCACATACTGCAATAGACTATTTCAAATAAAAATAAAAAATATATAAATGTTAATTTTTAAAGTGGAATATGACTATTCTTAAGTTAGAAATTAGTTAGGTTCAAACAGTAATAAAGAAAGAACAACAAAAGTTTTATGTAATTTATTGGAATCTGGCTGACCCTAGAACTCTCGATTATTGTCTAGTACTCATCATCAGTGATCTTTTTAGGAAATATTTGAATTTTTATTTATTTAGTTTTTAGTCTATTTAGTTTTAATATAGGTAGGTAGATTGGTGTGGCGGCCTTGTTTCCAAAAAGCCGTATAATATACTCACGTTAGAATAGTGTAAAGTATATAATAGTTAGTATAATTTGTTGAAAATATATATATTTATTAAACAAGATATAAATATGTAAATCAACTTCATATAAAATCGATTGAACTTCGCACTATATATTTCGAATTATTATGTCGTGGTAATAGGAATAAAAGATCAATAATTTTTTTATAAAATACGGTATGCTGTATTGTCACCATCACCTACTCTAATATATTTTTTATAAATTTATGCGCAAAAAGTATCTACAAACACCCAACAAATAAAAAAAACATACCGAAAACATAAAAAGCCAAATGTCACAACTTCAAATTTGTCAGAGTACTAAAGTTTGTTGGGGAAAATCGAACACTAATTGGCAAAAGTTTGTCCAATGAAATTAGTTGATATTATGCCACACAAATTGAAAGCGGAAATTGAATGTTTTAGGTGGTGTAGGCAGTTTTAAAGGACTTTTTTATCATTAGGCTAATTGGCATATTATGACATTAAGGCATCACGAGGTTTACCAAAATATGCAGTCATAAAAAATCAATAAAATTTATGAATATTTTTGTTTAATTTATGAAAATTGCGTTTTTTGTTAGAGATAAAACATATTGAATACAAATGGATGTGAAATGAGATTTGTATTTGTTGGCTAAGCAAATTTTCACAATAGGAAAAAAATTTTAAAATATGTTTATTAGATTGTAATTACCATAACATTTGTTTAGACATTGTTAAATATAAATTTTATTGAAGAAATTATTATTTAAAATTCTACTTTATATTTTAATTGTTTATTATAACATCATAATGTTTATGACGAAATGGTTCAGGCATATATTTGGAAGAACGCAATGCAATTGAATAAAAAACAATCTTTTGGAAGCTCAACTGTTGAAGTTCATTTTTAACATCAGAAGAAATAAGATCATACAAGATTACAGGTAGTTTTTTTTTCCCTTTTTTTGTGTGTCGTGGTGAGTAGGTGGAATGCTTTATGCACCACTAAACTGACCATCTTAGGGGAATGGTAATAACTTCCTTTTCGGAGAGACTTATTCTTCCGGAATCACTTTCGCATTACTTCGAGGAGCGTCCCTTTTATATTGGCATTGTAAGCCATGGTCAGTTGATTATTGATCTGCATCCAGACCTTTACTTTTTCACCACATTTTTTGGTGTCTGATTTATTAATTACCCTAGTTTCTGCCTCTACTTTCTAAATCTAATTTTTTCGTTTTGAAGACTTCAATTACATATGATTCTATCATTGGACAGTCCTCTAACTACACACAGTCATTATGTCCAACTTAAGAGTCCCAAGAAGTGTATTTAAATTTGAGTCATAATGGAAAAAACGAATAAGGACTAATCAGAAAACTAATGTTTAACAAAAAATGGTAGAAATCGAATTAAGACAATAAAGAATTCTTATTAAAATGATAAGATTGCAGTAAAATCATTCAAATAAGTATTGCTTCCAATGTATGTAACATCCTCTGAAAATGACTTGCACTGTTTACTCTGTAATACGGAATGAGACCCGAATGAAGAAGTATTTATTGAAATACATACCTTTTTTGAAGGCCTTGACGAATCGTGCTATAATTATAGTACAGAAATATTATAAAAGTGATACAATAATTGTATTCAAGAGTTTCTACACTTAAAGCAAAAATTAGTATATATGGTTAGCGTCTGAATCAATTGATAGGACGTTTTGGAGATTAAATATTTCCTTTTTTTAAATAAAATTCATTTAAAACATTAAAGAGAAAATATTAAAAAACTAATAAAAGAAAACAAATTCAAAAGGTATGTCAGTCAAGTGGTAAAATTCCATATAATTTGGATTTTATTTGAGGAGTATTCACATCAATCTCTCTCATCTCTTAAAATCATTGGCAATATATTCATGAATTTTTTAAAAACTTTATTTAAAAAGTAACCTTCCTTTGAAAACGTAAACTTTCCACTAATTTTTCCAATTATAAATGCACGGATATGAATTTTGTGTAATTAGCATTTTTATTTTAATAAATTTGGTAATTTTCCTTTCACTATTTTCCATTTCACCCACAAATCGCTGTCAAAGTTCTGAAAAAATTCTTCCACTCTCTGGGCCAATATTTCCGATACGTTTTCCCATTGTTTTTGTCCACATTCGTCGATTTTTGTTTGAAACTTCTGGAATTTTTAATTAGTGTGAATAACTTTCGACAATGAAAAGGAGCGCCCTGGACACAGGAAATGTTCGAATTTATAGGAGTAAAATTTTTTTACTTTGAGCCTTATTTTCGTACTACGGATAACTTTTAATAACATTTTTCTAAATTTATTGTTTGACACCTGCAATTCTTTATAAAAACGAAATGTAGAAATAAATCAAATATTTGTGAGCATCAATATTGGCTTTCAATCACAATCATTTAAAGGAAATTTATTTGGATTTTATTTGTAGAAGAAAAAAATTCTACAATTTAATATTAAAAATTATTTAAGTTAATATTTTATTTTTAAAATTTTATAATTAATAAATAATAACGTTTTCATTACTCTATTTCAGTCCCGACGTCTATGTGCTTACCATTACACAAATGTTGCAATACATGACCGATCCAAAAGAGACACGTGATGTTAACACCATCGAATCCTGGAAATGCGATAAGAGTGTTGCAGTCGCACCAAAACCATGTAACAATTGGAACACCTGTGCATTGCCTTTCAAAATTCCCGAACAAAATATCACCGATACTCGATATATGGAAACATGCCGCGAATGTCCCAACGTTTATCCATGGTTAGGTGATGCCAGCGGCACAGGCATACAAGGACGTGATAATTATATTTTCTCAGGACCTGTTGTTGATGCCGAAGAAGAAGAAAGCAGTAACTAGAAGTTTGCCTAAACTGATTAATACTAAAAGGCATGTTTACTTTCAAATGTGCTCATTTATTTTCTTATCTCTTCTAAGATTTTTATTTTATTTTTCTAAATTTCGACTACGTTTTCTAAGAACCAGAAAGAAATAATTTTTCTGCACTATTAATTGTAATTTAAAATCGATTATAAACAATACATAAATCTGACTCAATACTTTCTTTAGTTTATAAGTAACTACAAACGTGTCAAGCTAGACATTAAGATGTAAAATAAAGTTTTTTTATAAACCAATCAAATTCGAAAGCCTTTTACTTAACAATATTTATATATAGGATATTGTATTAAAAATTATGAACACCCAAAATTACTTGAGGTTTAATAATTAAAACCTATTCAAAGAATAAGTTAAGTTCTACAAATATCCTTTTGATTTGACTACAAGTGAATCTAACGAACTCATTGTGATATCCCGTATATAGTGACACATTTAAGGGAGATAAATATTTTCCTTGACAGTAGAGCTTGAAAATAATAAAAACTATATAATTCTGATAAATTTCTGTATTCACATTACAGTAATTATATTAATAAAAAATCAAATAAAGCTTCTAAAAATAATTCCAATAAGAATATTACTTTCTACATCTATATACATATTCATAGCCAAATGACCCAGTAGCCAACACTATATCAATACATGTTACTTTTTAGTTTTATAAACTGAACTATTATTATTAACAAAATAAAATAAATATATGGACGAATTAATTTTCGTTTCGATCTGCATACGATTTAAAGTGTTACTTATTATTACAGCCAAGCGGCAATTAAATCCCTTCAATTCTTCATCTTAAAACCAAAGCTAGTTAAAGAATACAGAAGGAAAATTGTCGAGCAAAATCGACTAGTTAATGTTAATCTCATCTGGGCGCTTCCGGATATAAGAACATTAAAAACAGACTGTTTGGTCCTCCTTGATGCTTCTTGGATATATCTATATACGTATAATGCCATATCTTTCCCTGGAGATCGTTTAAAGAAATACTTATTTTTTTTTTCTGCTTGCAAATACTTAGTGAGAGACATTTAGATAATATGTAATTAACCCGCTAATCCGGCAGTCGTACAACAACACCAAATCTTGGGAATTTATCAATAGGGATCACGTGAATACTGTAAAGGTTACGACAGTTCTCTGTAGTTATTGATATATGGGACTATACAAAGAAACTATGCATTCCTTGTAATACTCATTGTAGAAGTTGTGCAATACTATACAAAAAAAGGCATTTTCTTTGTATTTGTCCAGTTTTGACTTCTAGAAGAAACGGGTTGTTAGGGAATATTTTTTTTTTAAATATGTTGAACTGCTCATTGGTAACGACGAAAGAGGTGACTAAAACAATTAAATTCCACGGAATGTATCTAGTATTATCTGTTTGGGGTTCTTGCTAGGAACTTGTTAGTGAGACAGTGTATAAACAGCCATTAATCCGTCATTGCAGCCAATTAATCAATCAACCAATCAACTGTTATTAAAAGTATTTTCTTAGAACAATCCTCTAACTGTTATTATAATTAATTTATTGAACTATAACAAAACATAGACAAAAAATATTTTCTGATATATCCCTGCTCGGCACATTCGTGGCTACGCCCCCACTCATAAAGACCTCAAATTTTCCTGTAAGATTGCTGATCACTTACTATCAAATGAAGAACTAATAAATTGAGTATTTTCTTCAATACCTCTTGCTGTAGCAGTAAGCAGAGATGAAGAGAGTACTACAAATTTAATTTATTATTCTCCAAAGCTTACGAAATAAACATGTTAGGTTTAAAGATGTCAGACAATTACTTTCTGGTAGACATTAATCATTGCAAGACGTCATCTGAAGGACAGTTTATGTTATATTAAAATTTTGAAATAGTTTTAAGGTCTCTGAAAAATACAAGCCAACTCAAAGGTACAGACTACACCGAATATAGATCATTACTCAGTGTCTACACTGGTTAGACTTTGGCAAGGTTTTTATGTTCCTATTTAAAAATAGGAATTTTGGTTAGCGATGTATTTGTTGGGGAAAAAGTAAGAACACATGCAAGAATCTCGCCAGTGTAGACATTACCCAACATCTACAGGATCATCGTGATAACCTAATAAAATTTTCCATAAAAATATATGTATAGATATTTTAATGTATAAACGAAAATACTTTTTTACTTCAAATTTTTTCAATTAAAATAAGAAATAATATAGATTTATACTTAAACTGGTACATTTACAACTTAGGTATACTCATATACATAATTATTATATTATCATAGGAAAAGTTATAGAAAAAAATTTTATCACTCGTAATAGAAGTGAAAAGAAGTATTCATAATAAAAAAATCCTATATTTTGTACGGTGAAATGTGACAAACTATTTTATTAAAACGCAATTAATATATATAAACTCTTTTTAAAGTTAATAATTCTCCCCTATATTAGTATATAAAACAAGCTTAACTCACTTGTGTTTTCCAGAAAATAAAAGATTTATCAACACTAAACTAATCCTTATTACGTATTATTTATACACAGTTTTATAAAGTTTCAAAATTTTGTTTACAGCAACCCCACTTTAAGGGATAATCCGAAAAGCACTTTGACGAGTACCAACAAACCACAAACAAAAACAAAAACTTTTACAATATCAATGAAGCACGTGCAACTTCAAAGCAGTCCTTACAACAGCTCACGCAAAGTACTACAATGAGACTTGAAAGAACCAAATACAGACATAATATCCTACCGGAGAGATACACATTCACCACCAGATACATGTACATAAGTCGAAGATGTAAACAACTGTAATGAATTCCTTTTGGAAACTAACACCCACGAGTCATTGATACATACCTCAACATACACTTTCGACGTTGCTTTTCGATTTATTTGATGGAAAGTTTGATTTCGAAATGGACGTGGACTAAAATCCGATAAATCACCACTTGAACAAATTGATTTATCAAAATATTGTTCAACGTAACGTATACGTAATTGAAATACAGCACTTCGCTTTGACTTAAATAGTTTCTTTATTTTCGCGAGTCCTTTCCGTCCATTGTTTATATGAAAGTGTACATTTTCGCGTGGTAATCATTCAAATGTATTGAAAACGTGATAATTTCTGAATTTCGAAGCTCTTGAATAATTGGTTGTGATTTTGTAACAATCTACTTAAAGCTTCCATGGGGTCAACGACTCAGGAGAGCAACAAAAGTACAAATTTTCGCTTTGGATTAAACAAAATTTTAAGTCTGTGAAGAAGGAAATTAAAAATGTGCACAGCTCTTCCCGCATTTTTGAATAGTATGACTCAAAATATTCGATTTATTGGAATATATTCTTCTCGGCTATTCCGAGAAATCATCTTTATATAAAATTCGTATACCTTGTTATTTGCTTTAACGAAATTAAAGTTTCATATTTCAGTTCAAATAATTGCAATAAATGATTATTAATACAAAAAAACTTCAAGTTTTTCTGAATTGGCGTTACTACAAAGGATTCTTCCAATAGTAGTTCTAAAAGTAAATCTATTTAAAGTACACTTGTTAATGAGATTTTCATAAAATTCACATTTTCTTATTTCAATATATTGTTTGGAATATTCTAATGTTTGGTTAGATTCAGTTTAATGGGCGCTTAATAAAAGTTAATGAACCTGCCAGTACTTTTACTTGAAAACATTTATAGCTCATTGTCATATCTTCCAAGTAGCCTTGAGGGAGAAAGTTACAAAAAGAATTGATATCTCTAAGTGCTATCCTTGATAAACTCTTCGTTCTTCCAATTAAAACTAAAAATAACTGATAAATCCGCCTCTGTTATCTACTGTTACCGACTACTGATAAAATCTTTTCCAAGGTATTTAAGTCTCTTCATCTGTATACCCATACAAAGACATAGGAAATTCTTGTTGTGTTCTTTCTTATCTTCGTCATACTAAATTTTTTGCAGTCCAGTGTCAGAATCCGCCAAAATTGAAGCATCAGTGCAATGGCGCAATACTCCGTTAGTCCTCCAGTAAGTTAACGAAGATCAAGTTCGCTGAAGCTCCAAAGGTTAGTGAAGCAAGTAAAAAAAATGCCATCCAAGTATTGAAATCGCTTTGATGAAAAGTGTAGCTGACAAAGACATACAAAGTGATTAATAAATTCTATTTCTTCTTTATTGTGACAACTCATGCGCAGTCCACTTGTCGAAATGGGTCACCATTAAAATATCGATACGTCCAAAAGGCTTTTCATTTTATTTCAATCTATTTTACTCTAGGCTATAAAATAGTAACAACCTGAAAGTCTTCGCGATTAGTTCACTGCTAAAATCTTCTATAATCTTTCACAGAAAACATATTGGCATTCGTACTGTGGTATAGGCCTCACTTAAGTACAATTGAGGTTTCACTAAATTCATTTCACTCCGTATATTGGATCTTATATATAACCTTATACCTTGACCTCAACCTTAATAATAAATTTTCAACTCTTTCCACTATGCCTTCATCCTAGCAATAGAGACAAATTGCAGTGTCTCTGGAAACTTAATTTGGTCACATGTATTTTCTATGCATAATTTATTTGAAAGTAGTCTACTTTCTTATTTTCTTGATGAAACTCTAGTTAGTGTTTAAATAGTGTCTGTCACCACTTGGATGATCTACTGTAATAAGAGCTCCCTTGAATTCTGATAATAAGTTATTCAGATGATTGGATAGAAGTTTACTTTGAAGCCCAGCATATCTTCCTGCTGGAATATATATTGCATTTAATTTGAGATTGTGCAGCTCTGAATTTCAACAACTCTGTCTTTAAAAGTAATAACTAACAGATAAAAAAAATTCAAAAAATTAAAATGTATTGCTTTCCAATCTGGGTACATCGTCTCCATACTTAAACAAATGAGAACCAGTATACCAGATCCACAAGCTTCATGTATTTTTAGTGGATCAATCGTGACACTGATATACGCTTGGGGTGCGACAAAGCCTTGACGATAAAGAATCTACGTCATCTGTATTGGAGTCGCTATCTCAAAGTATACCACATATGCTCGAAGTATTTAGTTTTTATAGTCAGCATTTTGTCATCTTTATCTTTTACGGGAAATAATACTCGTAGTTAAATTGGGTCCTGTACACACTTGCGTTGAGCAGTGATAAGATGGAATAGACCACATTGAGCAGTGCATGTTTGACTGAGGTAAGCAAGCTACTTCATTGCTTTGTTAACATCTCTGTAAA